CCCCCCCCCACCAGTGCTGAAGATCAAAAATGTCTTCAGACGTTGCCAAAAGTATCACACACACACGAAAACCACCACGGGACTAAATGATCTTTTACTAAAAGTTCCTCCAGCCACAACGCTGATGCCTTGATATCCAGGGGTCCCAAGACCTTGTACAAATTCAACTGTGGGAGCCTTAGTTTTCTTATCTGTAAAATGGGGTGGAAAAATTGCTGTGTGGATTTGAGAGTGTGGGAAGCTCCTAGCAATGGCCTGAGTGTGGGAAACACTGAATAGGTAAAGTTTAAATAATCGCCAGTATTTAGTGAGGGTTTGCTATGTGCTTGTCACTTCACAGAGCTTTATCCCCAGCCCTTGAGATGGGTGCTGGTGTACTTTACATCTTCAGGACAAACAAATGGTCACTGGTTTTGACCAGGCTCGCACAGTAGGGTAGCTGAAGCGGGATTTGAACTCAGGTCCTCAGACTCAAAGTCCTTACTCCTAACTACAGAATTTTATTGCCTTTATGATCACAAGTGGCCAGGAGAATTCCGTCCAGTTGTCATTGAGCATCTTCTGTGTGTAAAGTGTTGGCATCTGTTAACAAAATTTTGTGACCTCAAGGACCACAAAGAGGCTGAGACATAGGAATACCTCAGAATGTGGAAATAAATAATGTTTATGTTGAAGCACTGGTTTTGAGGAGGCAGAGTTTCAGTCTGGGTGTGCTGAGTGTGAGGTCATGGTGCAGCAAGTGGAAACGAGAGAATTGTGAAAACACTGGCTTTTTGCCGCTTGCTTATTGCTTCTCTTGTTCCCCACTTCCCATTTGCATGTTTTCATACTCCAGCAAAAGTTGTCTTTTTTTACTGCAGATCTGATCGTGTCACTCCTGATTAAAAGTTTTTGGGTGGAAGAAATTTTAATTTTTTTAACCTCTGTAGGTGACTTTAAAGCTAAAGTTTAGGATCTCAGGTCTTGCACATTTTAACCCTCCCTTCCTTTTGCATTTCACCTGCACCTAGACCGGAACCTCTGACCCTCTTTGCCTGTTGTCCCCACTGCCTGCCACGTCCCAGTTCTCCTCCACCTAGAGATCCTTTCCTCATGCTCTGTGGCCCCACTCAGAGCTCACTCACCATTTGAAGCCTCCTCTGATTGCTACTCTCCTTCTCCTCCCCTCTCCCCCGCCAGAATCAACTGTTCCTCGCTTGTGTCCCCATCCCATTCAATGGAGTCAAATGTTGAATGGTGAGGGAAGTGCAGTTGCTGCCTTTTGCCCCTAGGTGGCAATAGTGAGGCAGCGAGGCTGACCAGAGCCTGTAAGTCAGGGGAAGACCAGAGGAGAGCAGCCTGCAGAAGGGAAGTGAGTCCTGCTCCCCTCCTGTAACCAACTCTCCCGCTCCACTGCTAGGCTCTGGGAGGCAGTGGTGATTACAGTGTGTGGGCAGATCGTTTCAGTTATATACTGACTGGTGTGGAAGCACAGGAAAGGAGACTGTTAACCTAGGCTTTGGTGTGCAAAGGAGATCACAGAATGCTTCCTGGAGGAGGTGGAGTGGGGCGGGGAGAGGGGTTAGCCAGGTACAGACCACAGGGAACAGCTTTGCACGATACAGGAACGGCATCTGCAAAGGCACGGGAGTGGGAACCTCTTGGTTTGTTCAGGGAACCACGTGGAGTCTGGTAATTCGGGGGCAAGCAAAGTGAAGTAAGCAGGGCACGAGGACTCGTGCGGCCGCTGTGCAGAGGGGTTGGATGTTGTCCTGTAGGCCAGCCATGGATGATTTTAGGCCATAAAGTGAAGAAGTCAGATCTGCTCACAGTTGGAAGAGTCGGAGGGGGATGATGCTGAAGGCCAGCACACCAGTCAGGAGGTGATCACTTCCCTCTATGTAGGAAAAGCTGTGAATGTGGCCCAGAGCTGTAGTGGTAGGGAAAGAGGGGGGATGGGTTTGAGACATGGCTGGGTATGTAAGAGACACAGGACTCAGTGGGTGTTTAGATGTGGGACGTGAGTGAGCAAGAGAGGACAGCAGTGGACGATTCTGGGTCTCTCCCTGAGTGACGAGTAGAAGGATAGTGGTCAGTAAGAGAAACAGCGAAGGCAAGAGGAGTGGTTGGGAATGTGGACGTAGACAGGAAAGTGCCACTGGAATAGAACGCACGTACATGGACATGCTGCGAAACAGGAAGGGGCAGAAGGTGTTGTCCGTACGTGTCCATACGTGTTGGGGGGGGGTCTCACTTTTATGATAACTGTCCATCCCCACTTGACCCCGGGCCTCTGGGTGCCTTGGCCAAGTCAGCGGTCATACTTTTGTAGATTCAAGACACAAAACGCAACTGTTTGCTCATTGTCTGGGGAACAGGGAGAAGGGGAAGAAATTGCCTCCCTTGAGGAAATTCTCACCTGAGTTGGGGAGAAAAGACCTTTATAGATGTAGAAGATGAGGTAGCAACCGGGGGAAGCAGCGGGTCGTGACAGCATTGAGAGCGTTGAGAGAGATGGTTGTCTGCTGCTTGGTTCTTGTGTTTGATGAAAGAGCTGCTGTCCATACTGGTTGTTGTGATCAGAGAGGCGTGGGCAGGAGTTTTCAGGCGCAGCCAACAGCCCCGGGTGAGTGAAAGGAGAGCACAAAGAGGTCCGGAAGCCTGAGTGGACTGGTTTGGGCAGGCAGAGGGGTCAAGAAGGTGAACTCGGAGATGAATCTAGAAAAGTATGTCCGGATCAGGTGGTAGAGGGTTTCTGGACACAGTCAAGAGGTGATCTTGGAAGTTTGTGTTTCTGGGGGAAACTCCAGGATGGACGGACTGGTCAAGAGGCTTTTGTGGTACGAGGTGGTGGGTAATGGCCCAAATTTGGGGGCTGGGATGGGTTCTGTTCCTTTATCTTATATACCCCGTACCTTGCTCTTTGGCTGGCACACGTTCGGCACTCTGTGTATACTTGGGAGAAGGAGGGCCAGAAGGGGGCTCAGGAGTGACTGGATCCAGCCGCCCACCAAAAACGACATCTCTACTGGAGGAAAGACATCTCTACAAAGGAAGGAAACAGTCCGGGATGATCCAGTGGCAAGACTGATGTCACCATGAACAGAAGTAGGGAGACAGGAGGTGGAGGAGTGATTTGGATGGAAAAGACCTGATTGGGTTTGAAATAATCACGTGGCAGGGAGACCACTTGAGAGTCTGTCTAGGCAAGAGATAACAGGGACCTGAACAAAAACGATGGCAGAGAGATGGAGGAGAGGGTGACATATCACTGATGTGCATCTGGCAGAACTTGGTGCCGACTTAGGTATGGGGGACAGAGAGAGGTGGCTTGGGAGATACATGTGTCCTGCCACCAGAGGAAGTAATTCAGGGGAGGAGGAGGTTTGAAGAGGGGGGCAAGGATTGGAGGAGAGGGTTTAAAGGTGTCTGCGGTTGGGCACAACGAGGTCAGGGAGGCGCATGTTCCCCTTGATTTTGTTAATGAAGTAGGAGTAAGGAGATGGGGTCAGAATAAGGTTGATATCTCTATTGGGCAGATTGAGAGGCGAGCTGACCCATAAGCTTGCGTGTGCGGTTGATGGTGAGGGAGCATAGACCACCAACCAGGTCTTCCACGTGTGTGGGGCTGTAGTCGTGAGCTCTGTGACTTCCCTGGAGTCCCAGCCCATTAGAAATGGCATCAGAGGTTTGGATCACTTCCAGGATCCCAGGGGCAAAGAGGCAGAGTGCTCCTCAGTGGACCTGGAGGCGGTGAAGTGGCCACTTGCCGAGCACTAAGAAGCGTGCCAGGCGCTGTGAAGCAGGCGGCAACATCCCCATTTTGCAGACAAGGAGGCTGAGGCTCCAGGAAAGGAAGTGCCATACTCCACGGTAGTGTAGCTGATTAACAGTAGGGTTAGTGCTGGAGCTCAGGTCTGTCAGACTCCGCAGGCCAGTCCTTCCTGCCGTGCCGTGTTGCTTTGCAGTTCTGTATGAGAGCCCTGGAGTGGCCTGGACCAGCCAGAAAGAAGCTGGAAAC